CACCCTGCCAGAGCCAGGTCTGTGGTGCAGGTGCTTCCCATGGTTGGAGCACATGTGAGCTGCCTGGATGCCTGCAGCTCCTGTCCCAGGGTGTCTGGGGCTGGTTCTTGGGGCCCCTCCCTTCTCTGTTCCTGGCCCCTGCCTGCCTTCCTATGCCTTGTACCAGGGCTGCCATCACAACCTGGGAGGAGGCCCAGCTTCCTTGGCTGAATTTTCCCTCCTGGCACTACGTGTGGAGGGGAGGGAGGTGTTCCTTGCTCTTACAGATGCCCCAGGTCCTCTGAAACCCTGGCAGCCTTCAGAGAGCCTGTGGTGGTGGGAGGCGGGGGTCCATCCATGTCTCACTGGCTTCAGCCAGAAATAACATCCTGGAGGCGAGAGAAACGTTCCTGCTTCAACTGTGTTGTATGTTTCTGCAAGAAGGCTCGTTCCTCACCACAAAGCCCCTCTGTTTTGTCAGAAACTCCTTAAATTCTGTTCTCTGGCTCTCGCCTTCTGTCCTGGGGCCTTGCGGGGGGAGGGGGGGGCGGAAACGAGGGCTCCTGTCTCCCTCGCTTGCAGCTGGAAAACGCCACCCAGAAAACCAGCAGGAAAGGGGCAACCCACCCCTCTGGGAGCCCTCCCTGCTCTGCATTTCTCCTGGCAGCTCAGCAGGGTTCGGCAAGCACCCTCTCGGCCAAGCTCTGGACTGTGGTGCTGCCACACACAGCCACGGCGGGTGGGAGCAGGCAGAGCATCCCGGCTGCCGTCCACACGGCAGGGATGGGAGTGGGAGCAGCTCTCGGCCATAAGGCAGCACACCCGGCTGCTGGGGCCTGGAGCAAGGCCCGGGCTCAGCTTGGCCTGTGCCACAGAAGAGGAGAGCTGTTAGCTGCTGCTGCAGCCCGCCGGCTCCCTCCAGCAGAGGCTGGGTAGGATGGTTGGGCACAGCCCCGGGCACGGGGGACGGGAGCGGGTTCCCCGCTTCCTTCGAGGCCCTGAGGAGCGCCGGGAAGGGCAGGTGTGCTCGGAGCTCTGGGGTGGGATCGTTGTCCCTCGTCTCGTCGCACCCTTTGAAATGCCTTTTTTGGCCCTGCGTGACCGGAGTGACGTTTCCGAGGGTGTACGGTCAGCGGGACCGACACCCCACCCCACCCCCCGAAGGCTCTGCGTCCCCGCAGGCTTCGGGGAGATATTTCCTCTCTGCTTCCAGGGCGCGGGAAGGCGGGCAGCGACCTGGCGGGGCCGCGCGGGCTCTGCCCGCCCCACGGTCCCCACGCGCGGCCCCGGCG